AATAATGCAAAGAAGCGAAAAATGGAAAAGTCTCCCGAAATAAATTCAGAGAGCACAGTTAACAAAAATAATGAAACCAGCCCTAAAATGGAGGCTGAAAATTCAAAAAAGCACAAGCCTCCTCCGGTTATATTAAGCAACATTAAAAACTGCTCCCACATATTTAAAATATCAAAAGAAGAAAGAATATATGTTAAAGTCAATATGGTGAATAATGACCAATTAAAAATAAATGTGGAAAATGATAATGAATACAAATTACTAATAAAAGGTATAAATAAGGTTAGACTGGAGTGGCACACGTATGAGAATAAACTGACAATGCCAGTTAAAGTTATTGCTAGAAATCTCCATCCATCGTGTGAGCCAGAGGATATAAAAAAATAGCTCATCAGCAAAGACTTTAAATGTCTAGATGTTGTATATAAAATCAAAAATCCATTCCGCAATGCACGAGATATCAGAGATTTGGACACACACAAAAGTTTTGCCAAACTGAGGTTAGATGTGTAAAATGTGCGGGTAATCATATGACAGCAAAGTGAAACAAGAATGATAATTTTCAGCTGAAATATCCGAACAGCAATGAAGCACACCCTGCTAGATATCGAGGTTGTTTGGTTGCAAAAGAATTGCAAAAAAGAAGATTAAAAAGGAATAAAACCAAAAAAAATCAAGTTAAATTTATGAGCAAACAGCTCCAAAAATAGCGAGAATTACGACACCTAGGAAGGTGTTAAAGATAGTATCGTATTTACAAGTGCTTCAAAGCAAAACAGAATATAAGAAAAATAAGGAATCTGAGAACAATACCCCACAAATATAAAGAACTGATGCAGATAATATGCAAATCTTGCATAGTAAGTTGATTAGAATTGACGAGATCTCTAAAAGATTATTAAAAGTAGAAAATGGAAACACTTAGGTGTATACGGAGACACCAAAGAAATTAAGAAAAGATGTATGTAAATGAGATACGTATAGTAGTTTGGAATGCTAATGGTGTTCTTAATAAGAAACAAGAATTGGAAATTTCAAAACGAGAAATATAGATATTTGTTTGCTGTAGGAGGCTCATTACTGACACTAACAAGATCCCTGATGTTATTGACTTTTTTATAACCAAAAAAATATCAGAAAACTTTCTAAGCCTTGAAGATAATTATGACTTTAATTCAGATCACTCTGCTGTCATATTAAAACTAAAGGAAAAAATAACTAAAACATTATCTAAGCCTTTACATTAAATATTATCTTGACAAATAGATCTACTATACAATCAAGAGAATAATTATATTTGGAGCTAGAAGGATTTATTAAAATCATACAAAAAGCTGCATGGAACAATACAAAAATGTCAAAGTACAAACCGACAGATATCCTAGAGAAATAACTGATTTAGTAGGTGAAAAGGGAAAGGCCAGACGTAGATGGCAACGTTCGTGTCACCCTGATGATAAAACTGTTTTAAACAGACTTTCCCAGGTGCTTAAAAGAAAAATCCAAGAATTTAAATCGGCAAGGTACAAAAATTATATAAAGAATTTGTCAGCTACGAAGGAAACGAATTATTCCTTATAGAAGGCGGCAAAGAGCAAAAAGGGACCGATTAAGCACGCTCCGCTACTGATGAAAGCAAATGGCAGTTCGGTGAGGGGCAATATACAGAAGGCCGAATTGTTTGCTAATCACTTGGAAAGCACATTCACGCCAAACGAAACAACATCAGATGTAAGTTTGGTAGAATCTACCGCAAATGAAGCAGGTAGCATAGCGGAAGAGATAAGATCCATGAAGGTAAAAAAATCGCCAGGTTTTGATCTTATTAATGAGGAAGTGTTGAGAGAGCTACCAGACGAGACATTGGAACGTTTGACGAGAATCATGAATGCTGCTATGGATGTCGGGTATGTTCCTTGTGCTTAGAAAGTCGCGGAGGTAATTATGGTGCCCAAACCCGGGAAATCCTTGAGGGAAACAAAGTCTTGCAGGCCCATTTCACTGTTACCAATGATGTCTAAGCTTTTTGAAAAGCTGCTATAAAGGAGATTGAAGCCAATAATAGAAAATTGGGGCCTAATATCGAACCATCAATTTGGCTTTAGAAGAAACCATGGAATGTTATAGAAAAAAGCTTGGAAAATAAAGAAATCTGCTCTTCTATATTTCCAGACGTAGCACAGGTATTCGGAAAGGTATGGCACAAAGGCCTTACGTTTAAGTTACGACAAATGTTACCATCGCCATTTGTAGAAATTTTGAAATCTTACTTAGCTGATAGATTATTTAGAATTAAATAAGACGCTGAATACTTTACGCTAAGAGAAATAAAGGCAAGTGTGCCTCAAGGCAGTATATTGGGCCCAACGTTGTACCTGCTTTACACGAGTGACTTGCAAATAGAAAATGCTACGGTAGGCACTTCTGCTGACGATACTGCAATATTGGCAGTAGGAGCGAACATTAACGATTCGACAAAAAAATTACAGGAGGCAAATTTCAAAATAAGCCAGTGGACTAGAGATTGGAAAATGAAGTTGAATGAAGCAAAACCGAAAATAATGAATCCATCACAAAATAACTTAAATAGAACGAACGTAGCGATCCATAACTCAGCAAAATACTTAGGAATGACTTCAGATGTCAAGCTAAGGTGGAAAGAGCATATAGAGAAGAAACACATAAAATTAGAGAATAAATATAGAGAAAATTATTGGCTCCTAGGTCGCAAGTCCAATTTGGCAATTGATCATAAGAAATTAATTCATAGCCAAATCAATAAACCAATAAGGCTATATGGCATTCAACTGTAGGGTTGTGCCAAGAAGACTCACATTAACAAAATTCAAACCTTCCAGAATAAAATTCTACGGGGCGCCATGGTATATCATAAAAGTGATATTCACGGGACTTAGGAATTCCTTTGGTTGTGGATGAAATTAGGAGCTGTGCTACAAAGCATAGGGCTCGTCTAGAACAGCATCTAAATATGGAAGCAGCTCGGCTGCTCGTCGATGGCGTTATGACAGAAAGACTTAAAGGAACAAGACCTTTCGATTTAACACGAAATACCAATTTCCTTATGGAGGGTATTTAATTTCTGTACGGAAAAACCAAGTTAGGGCGGAGGCTGGTCTGTAGGACCAGTGTTATCCGTTCAGAGTTTAGGTGATTTTTTAGGATAGGAGTCACGCTCCCCCACTGTTGGAGGAAAAAGGCAGGTAGCGCCGTCCTTCTTCGTCTTTCGAGATTTATTCACCCAGTAGAAAAAAAAAAACAAAAACAATTTATTTCGCAAAAGGATTAATTCAATTCGCAAAAGCGTTAATTCTGTTCGCAAAAAGTTTAATTCATTCGCAGAAAGATTAATTTAATTCGCAAATGGGTTAATTTAATCTGAAAACGCAATATATAGTTTATAATATTAGAAGAAATTTTTTTTTCCACCTCCATCATTTCTCAAGTTATCACCTCTTGAAATTTGGGAAATTTGAATTTTTGACACCTGATATATCCGAAACCGCGAGGTTTATAAATACAGAAAGTTAAAAGCAAATTCCTTGCCATTTGAAAATATAATAATTTTTCTTAACTTTTCCAACAAATTTTTGAAAACAAGTGCTTTTTAGTTCCACTCTGTTTGTCCGTCTGTCCATCCATGGACATGTTTACAAAACTTCTATACCCTTGAAGATAGAAATTTTATAAAAATGAAAGCTGAAATTTCATATATACATGATTTTTGTTAGAAACTTATTTCCGTTGAACAAAATTTTTACCTATCTCCCTCCTCTAAAAGCTATACTCCACAAAACCCTAAAAATGTCATTTTTTAACTATTTATATCAGTGAAACTGTAAGCATTTTTCAAATTTTGCAAACGTAGAAATAAATCGGTTGGATTCTTCTATTGCGGTATGCTATATTTGAACTTTAAAAAAACAAAATGGCCCTTAAGATTCACCGTTATAAAAAATGCGCTTTCTCCAAATTTTTGATGTCGTTTTTCTTCTAGACCACAGGTTGTAAGTCTTAAATTCTAAAAGCTTTTAGACACTAATAAATAATTCATTTCGTTAGAAGAAAATTTGTTCCCACCTCCATCCCCTCTAAAGCTATTACCTATCGAAATTTTTAAAATTTGAATTTGATACCGCAAGCTTTTTCGAATTTATATAAACACAGGAGGCTAACGGTAAATTCCATGCCATTAAAAAATATAATTGTTTTTGTTAACTCACGCAGTTAACCTTTAAAATCGAGTATTATGTTAACACCTCTTTAAATTTATTTTTGTTTTATTTATGCAGTATTATAAATCACTCACCCTAAATATATGCAATCCTTAATGAAATAGTTTCGTATAATCCTAGCCTAGTCCTAATAGGTAGGTCCTAGCCTAGATTGATTAATACTACTTCTAAGTTTTTACACTTGTTGAAATAAAAGTGCTGCAATACAAACCATTGGTTTCCCCTAACTTTATTTTTTTTATTTTTAAACGTTAATTTTCATATTTTTTATAAGTTAATTTTACTTTTATCAAATAAAAGTAAAACTTTTATAAAATAAATTTTTGTTACAAGTTGCCAAAGTTTTTGTCAGTGGTTGCCAAATTGAACTTATTTCCCAAAAGCAATACGATACACAAAATGTTATCAGATATATAAAACTTGGTATAAAAAAAGTGTTGTATTTAAGAAGGTAGTAACTTGATTTGACCTATGGAGGAAACTGTAGTATCATTTTAAGAATAGAAAAACTATTTAAGCCACAAAAATTTGTCTTCTACACTGATTCAACTAAAAAATATGTATGTTTTATACATGTAAAAATGCGTAAAAATTTATACCGGATTCTCCGCACAGTGTCTTCCCATTAAAATTTTGTTTTAACGTAATTTATATTGTAAGCTTTATATTAGCCATTTTTTTTTATAGTAGAAATACGTTACACACTGAACAATTAAATAAAAATCATATGCAAATTATTATACTTACCACACAGCAACAAGTGAGGACTATGAGGAAGCCACATATAGCGCCAGCTGTACCAACAACCCATGTTAGACGAATGAAGAGAATAACACCGAATATATTTTGTATACAAGGTAAGTAGACTCCAATGAGAGTTCCTAAAGTGTAAAAGTATGATGAAAAAAAATTAACATAAAATACAAATTTTCAAAACTATAATTGTAAATAGTTCTTTAACTCTAGTTAATAATTTGAATAATTGCTAAAAGTAAGTTCATTGCTTTTATAACAGACCCCAAACAGTATTGCATGTGCAACAAATACAATTTTTATTCAGTGCAAAAATTTTATTTTACTTCAAACTACTTTAAAAATTTGCTTTAATTGAACTTAAATAATGAAACTTATTCATCAAATGAAACTTAAAATAAAACTTGAGGAATTTTATCAAAACTCAATATTTCTTAAATCCAAAGCATTCATTTGGTAAGCGAAACATTCTGAGGCGATATGCTTAGGCAAATAGTAAGTATAGTATAGCATAGGAACAAAATTACATATTTAAATATTTTTTTTTTAAATTAAGCTCAAACACTTTACTATTGGTAACATATTTATATATTGTATTTAATTATTTATTTTATTAATCGTATAGTGAATTTCGAACAGTGCTCTTAAAACTAAACTAAATGTAGTGATTAAATAGTCTGGATACTCTCAAAAGTAGCTATTTTGCTATATACATATTTCCAAAATAGAGAAGACTTATGAACAAGTAACAGTAATTTTTTGATTAAAAAAGAGTAACAAAAAACTATTAGAGAAATAATATCATTGTTACATTAACTTTTTTGGAGTATTTCTTTTTTGTACAATCCTTATATCTAATTGATACAAGTAAAGTGAAAATCTAAAAGAGATAAATGGTAATATGAATTGGTCATATTTTTCTTCTAATCGTTTTTAATTTGATTTATTTGATATATTTGCTTTATCTTCCATTTAATGTCAATTCTTCAACATTAAGGCCTCTTGGCAATATTGCTGTATCTTCGTCAAATGTAGTCACAGTTACATCCCACAATTGTGACATAAGTAATACAATGCAGAAAAATATGGTAGATTTCAAAATTAAAACAAAAATAAAGTTAGGTCAAACCAATGATTTGTATTGGAGCACTTTTCCCTTCAACAAATGAAAATACTGCTTTGCAGAACAATCGATGTATCCCTTTCACACTATTAAAATTATTTTCATTCATATACGAAACTATTTCTAGGATTGCATATGTTTAGGATGAACAGTTTATGCAGTTTCTGATATAAAGCAAAAATAACTTTAAAGAGGGGTTAACATAATGCTCGATTTTAAGGGTTAATTGCGTGAGTTAAGAAAAATAAGTATATTTTTTAATGTCATGGAATTTACCGTTATCTTTTTGCGCTTATAGAAATTTGAAAAAGCTTGCGGTTTCACAAATATAAGGTGTCAAAAATTCAAATTTTACAAATTTCAAGAGGCGATAACTTGAGAGGGGGGGGGGGCGATAAAAAAAAATTTTCTTCTAACGAAATGAATTCAGTGGCTTCAAGCACAAACGACTAAAGTCTGTTTTAGTGATTTCGAGATAAATGAATTTAAAACTTTAAAATAAATTTTGAAAAAAGTTATGAAGTTTTTTGAACCAATTTTTTTTTTTGAACGAAAGATAATTAAAAAAGGAAGCGATTAACTCATAATCTGAAGTAAAACAACTAGTAGTAGTCTCATAATTATAGAAAAGGTGAGATAGGCGGTTATATCAAATTTATAAAAAGCACTTTGCAAAGCATATCACAAATCGCCTCGACTTAGGCGATTTGTGAAAAATAACTTTTGCATTTTCGTCAAATTTAAGTCTACTTAAGCTGTTGTTGCAAAACTGAAGATATAGTTTTATGTGACTTAAGTTATACTGAAAAGGGAAGAAACAAACAAAAATAATACATATTTTTACGTTATTTGATTTTTCACTTTTTTTTCAAGAAGCAATAAATAAAGTTGTAGCATGAAGATATTCATATGTAGTATCTCTTCGTTTTTGTTAAAAACCCTTTTTTGGAAACAAGTTTCATCAAGGCATAGTGTAAAGCATGCTTTACAAATTTCAACCTTATATGCTTCGTAATATTGTAAATTATATTGTGTGTGACATTTACGTTCTATGAAATTGCTCATATTTTGTATCTTGCATATTGTTTTTGATTCAGATATGACCATTAATGAGACCACATATACAGTTATCTACCAATAGGACTCAATCTACCAGCCAGTCCAATAGAACTCGAAAATTTACTTTTGAATGTTATTGGAAATCTAACAGCTTTAGTTTTTTACTTGCCTTATCAATTTTTTTATTCATTTCCCAAATTCCTATCGTTGAAAGCTCTTTATCTTGAATATTTCTTTAATTTGTTTTGCTTTGAAACCGAATTTTCTATACTTTTTGGACATTTCTTTCTATTTCAGTTAGCCAAATCAGGATCATTAATACAGTCATCACAACCAAATTCAATTGAGTTTTCAACTACTATATTTACTTCGGTTTCCGGAGTAAGATCTGATGATGCTTGTTTCTTATCTATAGGACCAGTTTCATTAATTACTATATTTTAAAACACTTTAAATTCGTTATGTTAATTTCAAATACATTGCGTTACCTCTAAAGTCCGCTACAATCATTTCAGTTCTCCTAACAAACAACTTAGAAAATTTTTAACGTACATTTATTAATCGTGGATAAATTTTGTGTTGGATAATTTTCACGTTAATTAATATTTCCAACATGAACACATTTAAAAACAATAATTAATAACTGTCTTTGTAAAAAATACATCCTTCAAAATAACTAAAATATTATTAATATCTGAAAATCAAAGAAATTTGATCTTACGGAAATGAGTAATATAAATTATAACAAAATATTGCTATTCCCAGATGTACCAATTTTATTTATTGAAAACACTTGCAAATTATAAAAATTTTAATTTCCTAACAAAATGCGTTTTGTTAGTTATAAAATTAGTTAAAATTAGTTTTGTTCCTAACACTTAACAACACAAATAAGTTTTCATTTAACAGTCCGTTGCCGGGATTCATTAGATCCGAGAGAAACTTAACTCCTTAAGTTAAATGAAAAGATGTTGAAGAAGTAAGTCTGGGTATGGTTTACGAATGGTTTACGAGATGATGAAAAATATTACATATCTGGAACGGGAAAATATTGAATTGAAAAGTATATAAATGTGCTCGAAAATATGCTCGATGATACGGAAAAAAAAATCTATCTCGAACGCTATAGATATATTTAACTTACCTAGTTTAGAAAATCCGTTTTGTTTTGCTGAGGCTTCGAAAATTTTAAGCATTAAACCTAAATTTAGCAAAAAAGACCGAAGACATCGCAGCATGCCATTGCTTCAAAATTAAAAAAAATCTGATGTGCTCAGCACATAACCGACCGCAATGTGTGTTGTGATTAAGTGGAACTGTTACAGAATATTATAAAAATGTCTGTTAAATACAGACTTTTTTAAATTTTTGGGACATTAGTAAGCTTATAGTTAACATACTTAGAAAAATGTAAATTTGAAAAATTAAAATTTCCCTTTGTGCTACCCGAATTTCCTGAAATGCTCGCCAGTTAGTTTCGGTAACAACCAGAATTCAAATATCAAATTTCAAAAAATTCCATCAATTCGTTCCGTAGATATGGTGAAAAATGTAAAATCGGTCCGCAAATCAGTTTTCGAGCCCTGATCTTTCCAAAAAATGTTTATGTTCTTTGCTTTAGTACAAAGAATTTAAATATAAAATTTCAATGAAAGCGATTAATTATTTCTCTTTATAAAGTAAGCCCGAAGTAAAAGCCTGATTTCTTCCAAAAATTAGGAGGTTTAGCGAACGGTCGAGCGAAGTTTCAAGTACATTTGTTGAATATTTTCTTCATAATGATCAAAAATGTAAAACAAGCCCGCTTAAAAGAGCAGTTCCCGAGGCCTGACATATACCAAAAATTGATCAATCCGTGCCATAGTCGAAACAAACTTACACATAAAATTTCATCAAAATTTGAGATACACGTATGCATACACGGACCGACAGACCGATAGGTTGCTAAAAATAAAAGTGCGTTCCCACCGAAAACTCGATATACAATTTTTGTTGAAATCACATAATCTACCTATTGTATACACAATTCGGTCGGTAAATATGATTTTTAATGAAATATTTGCGCCTAATTTTGATTGAAAATTCTTGTCTCTGATGGATCACATTTGCAAAAACTAAAAATATATGTGGTATTTTCAGTTTCTAAATACTAAGGCTAGTGGTAAAAGATATTTACGTATTGACAATAGAAAAAATCTATGTATGTATGTATGTATATAGATTTAGAAAAATTTTACTAAACGTTTTAAAACATTCAATTTTTTGAAAGAATACATTATATTTTCCTAAATTAATCTTTCATTTAAAAATTAAAGCTGGGAATTCTTTTGACAAAGTTTCCTTAAGATTTTTGAAAAATTTCTCAAAGAGATATCCTAAAATTTTCCTTTGGATAATTACTTTTTATAGGTATACATTACCATAGCATTGAAATGACGTTATGAACCAAGCAATTGATGAAGTAACATAATTTGCTTTATTTTCCTAAAAAGGTAAATGTTTAAGAAGAGTTAAAATCAGATTATTGAAGATTAAAAGATGAAGAATAATCAACAGTCTTGTACAAAATTTACAAACATAATTATTGTTGATTATTTCTATGTACAAAACTTTTTTTTAAATTTTAATCATATACCGTAACGGGTACAATTACTGACACTCTGAAAAATCGGTGATGTCATTCACACTCAAATTTCAAAAAAATTAATTATGTGTTATTATTATTTGACATTTTCTTCATTCTTTGTTTGTTATATAAATATTTTAAATAATTAGTTGGCTTTTAATTTTAAAAAATAAAAAAAAATATTGCAGAATTTATTTTAAGGAAAAAAATAGTGAAAATCATTAAAAACTTCAATATGTAAATTTAGTAATTCTTAAGGTTTTTAATATAATTGTTGTACTTTTAGAATGAATGAACGTTTAATTTTAAATTTATATAAT